TAATCCGTTTAGACAAAACTATGATCCAATCCAAACTTTCACTTTCTTATCCTTTTCAATCATTTTCTCATCAACCAAACGCTAATTCACTTTCCAATCCTTTCAAGCTTGAATTAAATAGAGAGAGAGAGAGAAAAAAAAAAAATGAACCTGTCGGTACGATCTCGGAGGCGATTAAGAAACCTCTCATTGTCATCTTCAACAACTCTAAGAATGCTCTCCATGAGCTGCTTCTTATCTTGAGTATCAAGGTTAGTCATATCAACCTCATTCCGAATGACTCTACCATTGCTCGTCACCTGCTGTAACATCCCTCTCCTCACCCGATCATAAGTCGGCAACCTCTCAATGGCAGCCCATTTCAACTCCTCCTCATCATCCACCTCCTGCCGCCGTGTACTGTTCCCCTCGAACACGTCCGATGATCCCTGCCATACCTCCCTTATACTCCCAGACTTCCAACTCCTGCTCGCTCTACTACTCGCCGCTCTCACCAATTCATCTGCCGCGAATGGGGCAGCCATTTCAAAACAAAAATTCACTCAAATATTCAAAACTGCACTGATATCTCAATTTGTAATGTGCTTTTTTCTTTTTTGGTAATGTGTTTGGAAATGAGAAACTGTGGCCAGGTAGTTTGGAAGACAAGTGGTTAGTTAGAGGCTTTATATATTGGAGGAGATAGGGGTTGCGTTGACTTTAAAAAGAATATTTTTTTCTGTCTACAAAATTTTTAAATGTTGTGTATTTTATTCTGGTCAAAATAGGATTGTAGAATTGCAAAATTTATATTCGGAGGCGTTCGGAAATGGAGGTTGAAACTAGAACAAGCGAGTTGTGTGTCACATCTATACATATTTTATAAGGGTGGATGACTAGCTTTGATTGGTCACCCAAGAGAGGGAATATTTGAATACAAGGGTGACGTTGGGTCTCTCCCAAATATTTTGGGCATTATTTTGGGTGTGGTGGTGCTCCAACTTAATGTGGTAATGAAAATTTTGACTTAGTAATTTTTTATTTTTATATAGGGAAATTTTTTGACCAAGTAGTTGGAACTGTTAATGTTGACTTATTTAATGTGTACATTATACGCTTGAATAAAATGAAGTTAAAAAGATTGATCAAGCTCCCTAAATCCTCTTTAATAGTTGTCAAAGATAATTAGTTGTTGAATTAGGTTTTAAGCTTATATGAATGAATTCGCTAAATCCTCTTTATTTAGCACACTCACAAAACTTGTGTAGATCTCATACTAGTTGATTTCATCAAAACTTATAAGTGTAAGAGTAAGATTGTTAGTATCTTTAATATTGCTAATTTCTTTCATATTATTAGCTTTGTTATATTGAGGATTTTTCTTCCCCTTATGATTCTTCATTATATTAGTGGTTAGTAACTAGTTGTTGGATTATAATTGTTTGTTTGATGTAATTCACTTCTCATATTTGTTAATATTCTGTCGATTGATAATAAAAAAAAAGACTTTACATGGTGATGACTACGGCCCAATCCAACCATGGGCCCAGCATCTGATTGCACCCTGACGGGCCCAAGAAGACTTGGAGGCCAAGACTGCCAACTCTAACCAAAGGGTTGATTGCCCACAAACCACAGCAACAGCACCAAACTGAGGTTGAGCTCGATTGCTCAGATGGGACCATTGGAAAACTGACCTAATCATATGGTACTGCAATACTATTTAATACTTTTTTCAATCGTGGCATAAAATTATTATTGAGTTTGTTTCGCAAAACTTATTTATAATTTAAAAATAAAAACATCTCAATTATTTTCTTCTTTTTTTTTTTTTCATTTGAGCTTTTTTTTTTTTTAAAGAAAATTTTTAGTCAAACTAATAAATTTTATAATTTTTTTTTTGTATTAATTGATGTGCATGTAATAAATAAATTTGAGAATTTAAAATATCACTCACTTGAATGTGATAAGTATCACATGTAGGTGGTGTTCAATAAAGTTAAAAATTGAAAACTGAATACTGAAATTAAGTATTGAGAATTGAATGTTAAATTTTTTAAGTTAAAAAGTTGTTTGATAAAAATTTTAGTGTTGAATTAAAAATAAGTTGTTTGATATGTATAAGATTAAATTTGAAATTTATTATTTTTAAATTATATATTTTAATTTTTATATTGTGATGGTGGTGGCACTACAATATTTTCTTAGTTTAGTGACATTTGAAAGTGCCACAAAACTATTCTTCTAATGACATTTTTTTGTCTTGCGGCATTTTGAACAAGTGCCACTTCTATCGGTGCCACGGTATATACGAGTGTCACGGTAGATACTTGCAAGTGTCACTGCACCATCATGGCTGAAAACTTTCAATGACATTTTAATGTCATGGTAGATATTATTTGTGGCACTATCAAGGCGCCATTAAAAAAAGAGTTAGTGACACTTGTAAGTGTCATTACACCATCAAGACTAAAACCTTTCAGTGACACTTTAATGTTATGGTAGACTCGAACCGCCAACCTTCCGCACCATAAACCTTATACACCACACTCTTCCCACTACACCTCTATAGCACCACATGATTATATATGCAACATATATTATTTATATAGTACATACATCCATATTAATATAAAAGTATATTCATAAACATAATTATTTTATTGAACATAATTTATGTAAAATAAACTATTTACTACCAAAATAAAAAAAGACCACTTTTTGGAGACTAAAAATATTTTTTAGTCACCAATTCTATACTTTTGGCCACTAATTGTTTTTTAGTTGCTAAAAAACTTAACTTTTGTTGACCAAAATCGGATTTGGTCGTCGAAGATGCACTTTCAGCTACCAAAATTTTGGTCACCAAAAAA